GCCAAAAAACCCCCCCCCCCCAAATAAAAAATTCTGAAAGAAAACCTCTGTGGAAGATTATACACTATTCCCCCCTCCCCCTGTACGTATCAGTTCAATTGCTATAACTACACACAACACACGCCCATTTTATCTCTTTCTACATCATAGATTACACACGTTATCATCCTCTGTACAAGTATTACGAAAGCTTAATGATTTTTAGAATTTCAAATACAAGTCGGTAAACTTTACAAGTTGTTAAGTTGCTTCGAGGAAATGAATTTGCCTCCGCCTGCTTCTTCTATGGGAACCCAAATATAAAACCATATTTATGACTTATTTTATACATATAACGTACACAATCCGATTTGTCTGTAACTTGGTTCTTAAACGATTGAACAGTTTCCTCAAAAGTGAATTTTAAAAAAGACAAAAAAAAAAAAATTACAATAAAAGAAACTGTCAGAAAAAAAAAAACGTATACCAACTTTTAGCCCAGGATTGGTTATAAAATGTAACATTTTCACAGTATTTGTTACTTGAATTGTTCCTTGCATATATTCAAACCGAGTGTTTAAATCCAACAGCCCACTTGCTACTGTATTCATGGATATACGTATCAAAACAAGGTTTGTATTGTCGTAACCTTATATTTTATACTTCAAAAATGGTATAAGAAACCAAGTGGCGTACAGAAATGCTTATTTATCATCTAGGTCATTTTTTCTCCGACGGATGGCGTGCAGTTTAAAATAAGCAAAGTGTATTGTATAGAACTACATATTCATTGTTTTTAGTGCTGAAACAATGATCTTATTATATATCCGGTTTTGTTTTTCATTCACCATGTTGAAACACTTATTACCATTGTCGTTGGGTCGAACCATGTTACATGTTTACCAAACAGGTCCTTATCGTAAATACCTAAAGTAACCATATTATTTTAACATGACTTATCAATTCAAACTATAACTGCTTTTCCTGGTTTCTTTTACTTCAAATCTACAAATTAGCTTTTAATCGGTATATTTTTATATATTCTTAAGTCCTCATGTATGTTGTTTACGATATAATATCTTATCATATAGGGCATTGCACTGTGTAACTGAAAAATATAACAACAAGGTTGTAACAGTTGATTCAACAGCTGCCGAGTAACAAAGCAATGGAAGAAATATAGTCAGGCGGCCGTAGCCCCTACCTGTAGGCTGGGGTGAAACTTGAGATGTGCTGGGAAAAAAGCAGGCCTCCCACGGAAACGATCGTTGTGACTAGCCATTCTTTGAATTGGAGTAACTTGACACAGAGTTCGTTGTGCTTTGCTAGACACAGAAAAATCGAACTACTGTACCTGTAAGGCCAAGTCAGGTTTTCTTCTAAACATTGTTGGTTTCATTGGAACGATATCTGAATCACCACTTGTTGGGTCGAAACATGTTCCATTTGTATAAAGAAGTCCTTATTAAACATACCTAATTTAATAATAACTCATATACTCAAGTTTTTACTCAAACAGAAAAAAACAGGTTTAAAACACTGTAATACAGCCACAAGATCAAAGAATTCCAACGATGAAAGCTCTCCCACTACACCAGGAAACAAGAGACAAGATTAATTACTGGTGCACATTAGTGAATAACACCTTTACTTAACAAACTAAGGATTGTACACCACACGTTCAAATCTGTCATGAGCTGAATTACAAATTAACGATACCAAGTTTTACAAAGGCTAAGCGCTTCCATAGGAATACTTCAACCTCAATAGCAGCGGTAAACCGTCATAACCAGACTACTTCTATTCGAACGAAACTCAGACTGACAAAAAACAAAAACAAAAAAAACTCAAAGCTTAATATTATTCAGACGTCAAACTCTTCTACCAATAACTCATATAGTGTAAGGTATCTGCCGTCTAAGTGGGTTGGGCTAAATGTCTTTGAGCTACCATTGGTCAGAATTGGCGCAGATTGTGATTCCGTCACACGTTTGTAAATATATGCTAAAACCTCTCACTTACCGTAGCTTCGTCTGTCTGCTCACAGTTTGCTTGCGGCGGTAGTTGTTCAGTTTCAGTTGTCGTTTCTTCCATTAGTAATACTGAATTTTGTCAATAAGTTAACACTGTCAGCTCTGCTCTTCTTTTGACTGTCACGTGGTTCGAGATAAATTTGCGATCATTGTATTAAAACTGAGATTTTTCTTTGATTCTTTACACACTTTTAATCGCTTACTAGACGACAGCCTGTAGAAGCGGTAGAGAAATGGAATCATGGGTAACGGCGGGTGGCTTGAGTTGCGTCGTGCAGCGCCATCTTTGAATAATATTTTTTTAAATAGTAAATTGAACTGAAAATGTATTTCTTGATCGTAATATTCGCTTTGCCGTTTCTGCTAAATTATTTATATTTTAGTGTTTATCAGACTGGCAAAACTTACAAACGACTTTTCTGTTTGTGTTGTTTCTTATAATTTAAATATTATTTACAATAATTACACATTTATTTCGTTCTCGTAGCATTTGTGACAAATATTAATATTTACTTTAAAAATCTGCTAAAAACAAATACTATCTACACATTAGTTTACTATGCATGCATAATACTGAAATAATTTGACAGGTTTCAAATAACGATTGTGATGATGTCATAAAGTTTTCAGAACGTGAATTATCATTGGTGAATATTCAGTGGCTATTTCTCCAACCAAAGCTATTTATGGAAATATTTCAATTGAATATCACGTTTCTTCAATTACAAAATATAATAATAATAATTTATTAGAGAAACTTAGCTCAGATGTAACGTTAACTACTTATTTCTTGTCCCAATAAACTAAGTATAGATAATTATGTAAGCCTAAGATGTCAAATATAAACAGGAGCTCTGTAACAGTCTGCTCCAATTTCTACTCAAATGTAAATAAATAAATAACAGTGTTAAGTCTCTGCAATATACCCATAATATTCAATAATACAGTGATGCGAGTTGTTTGTCGCTTAGCATGAAGCAAAATAACTAGAAGAGCACTAAGCAGAGCGCGTATCTCCGCCACACAGCATTGACCATATTCGGCTCTCAAAATAAAATAGGAAAATGTGTCCATATGTCCGTCTTTATCAACGGACACGTAACATCTTTGGCAGGACAATGAGAAATAATATTCTACATATGTCCACCAAGTTTCATCAAAATCCGATCGTTTTTGACTGAGGTATAGAGCAAAAGTAGTGTGAAAAATCGGTCCCCATGTTAACAAATAGGGATTTCTTGGATTTTCGTGACCTTTATCCTCCCAAAACTAATCACTTCTAAGTTGCGCCACAGTCCAAATGTATACCAACTTTCGCTCAAATCCATTCAGCCGTTTTCGAGAAATCTTCCTGACAAACACACACACACACACAGGGATGAAAGCATAACCTTCGATGACGGAGGTAATTACTAGTATACACTCAGAGTCAGTATGACCAGCTGCTGTGACAGTAAGGTGGGGAAGAAATTAAATAAATATATTAATGTATTACTATGTTTGTGATTAAGCAATATCTCTTAAAACGTTTTATTATTTCTTAACTACGAGCAAAACATTAAGTTATATTTGTATAAAAGTTGAAGCAAGCCATCAAGTTGCGAAATATTTTTATACTTTTACCATATATATTAGCATTGTTACTCCATGTATTTGTCTTTTTTTGTTGTTGTTTATTTTACCATCTTCAATATTTGTTCATGTGCGAAGTGCTAACTGAACTAAATTGTTTAACATATTTGATAATAAAGAGAAACGACTTTCAACTTCAGAAAAATGTAATACTTTAATTAATATGCAAATAATTGGGCTTGTATATTCGTCGTTGTACAATGTAATGCAGAAACTGAGTAACCATGGTATAAAATTAGGCTTATTTATAAGTAGTATTCGAATATTTTCAAACTTATTTACTTAAGAATATTATTTCAAAGCCATTTTATCTCTCATTGACATACTAATAATTTATGCACAGATTTCTGATCATTTCACGTCTTCATTCAGACAGTCCTTGTTCAAATATCATGATTAAGAACAAATAATATGAATCAGTTACACGAGATCCTAAAGAACAAATACAATATATATAACGCTCATGTTTTAGTGAGAAGTAGCTAGCTGTTCCCTAGCCCTTCTTTGTCATATTTCATGACTTTCAAGATTATTATAACCGTACGCACATTCCTTAACACAGTTTGCTTTACTAGTTTAGTTCTCTCAAAACCATCTGATTCGTTCGCGGATTTTATTAACATTCTGCCACCACTTATTCTATCTGAAGAAAAATGTTTAGTTAAAACAATAATAATTCCAAACTGTCTTTGAATCTAAACTGGGCTTCACACACACACACACGATGATTTAACAAACCTTGTTATCCTAAGTTCCACTCTGAACTAATCCCAGTTCAGTTTGTTATTGAAAAACATGGCCCAAAATCGTCAGTTCAAAAGATGTTACTCTGCCAAAAAAAGAGCTTCTGGTAGGAGGAGAATCTTAAACGAATCTTTCAGAATGAACTGGGTTTTTAGATGTGTTTTTTGTGTGTTTTTTCAGTCACCTGAGTGAAATCTATAGTAGATGTTTTAACAATAAAACCTCCCAATTTCTCTAGCTCTACGCAAGTATGTTTATATTTCATTAATATTGTCACAACGATAATCCTTATACATATCCTCACCACATCAGAAATCTCTTGGTGCATATCCTCACCATATCAGAAAGCTCTTGGTACATATCCTCACCACATCAGAAAGTTCTTGGTACATATCCTCACCTTACTTTGTACATAAGTGAAACTGCTTGGTACCTACCAAGTAACATCCGTTATGAATTTGACCCATCCTTAAAAAAATGATTTAACATGGGTTTAATTTGATTAAACCTTTTTCGTAATGGAAGTTAACATCCACTAAGGATTTGGCTTGGTGTGAGAGATTTTGTTGGTCATTTATATAGTTCTTACCACGTTTCCTTTTAGCGCAAAAATTCCACAATGGTTATCTGCACGGCCTTCTTCTCGGGAGTTGAACCTCGAATTTTAGTGACATAAGCCCTCAAATTTATTACTGAAACACCTGGGGATTTTTTGTACTTGTGATTTTCCCTGAATCATAGGTATAGGCGTTAGTGTTATTCATATACATTTATTCACATTAAGTTGAAATATTTCTCCAAACTTTGAACGATATTAAAATACTTAGGTATATCATACCTGCTCATATAGGAAGGTTCAAGTTTTAGCGGGGTTTTCGGGATGTGGTAATTAATGCCAGCAGCTTTCTCATCGTGAAATTAATGGTTAGTGTTAATTAATTTGAATTACGCTTCATCAACACTATGTACACATTAGTGGCTCCGTGTCTTTGTAAGCCAATCGATCACTTTTCTTCACTCTTTCCATGTGTGTGTGCATTCTATAAATGATTGAAGACTAGAATTCCACACAAGCTAATGGCCATCAGTTTGCATATTAACACACACACAAAAATATCATAATAAGCCAACATCAACAACGCCTTGTTTGTGTGGTTAAAGTTAGGATACCAAGATCTCATTAGAAAAGCTTAGTTTAATGTGAACAACCTATATCCGAGACTTCACCGTCTTTAATATCTTTGTTTGGAGTATCCTCACAGCAGAGTAGCAGAGAATCAGTCACAAACCGCTTGATTAGTGAAACTGTAGAGAATCGGAGAGAAAAACCATTATACCGTTTAATTAGGAGTGAAACTGTTTGTTTTTGGATTTCGCGCAAAGCTACACGAGGGCTATCTCTTGGCCAATTCTTGGGCTACAATAGTGGGATTGACCGTCACATTATAACGCCCCCACAGCTGAAAGGGCGAGCATGTTTGGTGTGACAGGGATTCGAACCCGCGACCCTCAGATTGCGAGTCGAGTGCCTTAACCACCTGGTCATGCCGGGCCAGGAGTGAAACTATAGAGTAGCGGAGAAGCAACTAATATACCACCATTTGACCATGATGCGTCGTACTTCCGGTGACACATCATTAAATTAGTATGGCTGAGATTTAGCTTTACTATTTACTATTTCAAGAAACCAAAATTAAAAATAAAAGATGAAGACTATTTTGATTACCGATCTTCTGTTTATTCTCATTCATTTGACTTGGGGAATAACGTTCCTATTAAAATATTTCATTAACTTTAGATATTGTCTTGTCATTCACACACAAAACTTTGAATTAAATCCTGTAATAATGGGTGTTAGACGTACACACAAAACTTTGAATTAAATCCTGTAATAATGGGTGTTAGACGTACACACAAAACTTTGAATTAAATCCTGTAATAATGGGTGTTAGACGTACACACAAAACTTTGAATTAAATCCTGTAATAATGGGTGTTAGACGTACACAGTGCGTTACAGAGTTCTATTCATTTCCAGATGTCGAATGATAAAGATCAAGTTATCCAAAGACAAGAGGGCAACGTCACAACCTAGTAATGAATATATTAGCGTTCTCAACCGTCTTGTAGGATGAGATCTTAATTAACGAGAGAAACTTATAAAGTGTGACGTCACTACCTTACGCCACGTGCTTCCGTAGAGCGGGTAGTAGTGAGTCGCGCTGCTATCAGAACAACAGTGGAAGCATTGTAAATCGAATCTTGTGAAATCTTACGTGTTAAGAGTTATAATAACAAGATTAACTTTCAGTGACCACCAGACGATGAAATATCACTGGTGTA